GAAATAGAAGTCTTATGGAAATTTTCTATTCTAGCATTGGTCATTATACAAACTTCGGTTTTACTTCCTACTTGAGAAATTCCTTGGCTTTCTTCCCTTTTGAATAAGAGGAAATGTGAATGTTAGAGTTATCAATAGCGATTCCCTTCTGTTTCTATTTAGGTGTAAACTTTACAAACATGAATGGTTAACATTTAGGCTTTGAAGTTTCCTTGGCTTGAGAGATCTTTTTCTTTTCCTCTTTTGCAAGTTCCAAGGAAGATTTTGCTTTTAAGCACACTTCTATAAAGCCAGGATTCATTGGGATTTTTGATACTGGACCTTTTCTTATTCACAACTATTCCTAGAACTCACAAATTATATCTTCATCAGAATTAGTGTCAAGGAAGTCCTTTTTAGATTCTGAAAAGCTTAAGATCTCATGGGAGCTGATTTCAATAATAATGGGTTCTAGATCAGATTTACCCAAAACATCTATTTCGTCAACCAGAGGTTTTGGTTCTATTGACAGTGCAACCAGTGGCTCTAGTACCTCTATCGAATTTCCAGTGGTCTCTTGTTCCTTGACCAGAAGTTTGGGTGCATCAATAACACTTTCTAATTGATTTGATGGCGTAACCTAAGGCTTTGGTTGAACTGAAGAGTTTCCAGAGGTCTCTGGTTTGCTTGAGAAAAAAATTATAGTATCACTTGGTTGTTCAAAGACTCTACTGTGCATACCAAGGGCTCTGTTTGATCAATAAATTTATCTGTGCTACTTTCGTATACCACATTTTTGAAGTTTTGTCTAGTGAAAATGGAATTCCCATTTACTTTGACTCTCTTGAATGTTGAGGTTGGTATTGAAGAATAGTCTTTGAACACACCCTAAATTAAAAGTTGATTCAAGGGTTTTTTTCTTGTTCCCTATGAAGGAATGAAGTTCATTATACCCTGGGCCTTGAGTGTTCATCCGACTATTAAATTTTTTGTAAACATCTTGGGCGCCTTTATATTTTTTTATCAAAAGTTCATTGGTTTGAAGATTTTGATAAAGAACTTCTCTTTCTTTTTGAAAAACTTCTTTTAGAGCCACATAATTTAATCTATCAACCTCATATTCTTTTAATTCTTTCACCTTCTTTTTCAGATCCCTTCTAAGGGGTTGTTTGTTTTTTTTATAAAAAAGCTCTTAATGCCCTCTTAAGTCTGAATCGGTCAGATATAAGAGGATTCAGTGTGTTTGTTTTTTTTTTTCCAATTAAGAGCTTAAAAGCTCTTATTAGGTCTGAAAATTTTAGTGATTGAGAAGCCACTTATTTCAAATCGTCGCCTACCTACGTTGATCTCTTTGTACTCGACTTCTCTAAATCAACTTTTCTGTCTCGGTCTCTCATCTCTCAACTCTGTCAACTGTTGATCTATATCAACTCTCCATCTCTCATCTCTGAAGCTCTCGATCTGTCTACCAAGCTCTTGATTTAAGGTATCTATCTCGATTTCAATTCTTCTTTAATTTCTGTGTCTTCTTTGATTTCTTGATTTAAGGTATTCTGTTAAATGGGTTTGATTTTTATTGAAGAATAAACATGTATCCTGTTAAATGGGTTTGATTTATGCATCTTCTTTGATTTATGGATCATATTAGGATTTAAGTAATCTGCATACTTGTTCTTGAATGGGTTTGATTTTTGCATCTTCAATCCTGTTACTACTAGTTATTTATGGGTTTAATTTCTGCACCAGTCATCGCCTATGTGTTTGTCGTGTGATTTTGTTGAACTTACAAGAGAGGTAGAAGGAATGCAATGATGTTATTCATGTTGGAGCTTCCTTCAACCTTTCCTGCTTGTCACCACATGTTAGACATGTTATATTTGCCACCATAAAGGATGTAAGATTGCATCTGTTTGTCACCATAAAGAATGTAAGATTATTGTCTGGGACAGTCGTTGTGCTGCTTCTTGTGCCCCCTTTCTAGTAGCGCAAAATACTAGTGCAGATTTTTCACTAGAATATTGCATAAGGAGATCTGCATTTCAGTTTTTAAGAATTGAGAAATTTCATTGTGTTCATTATAGAGGTCTTCTCACCAAAAGAAGTTATGGACATAAGATCGAAGTGATCTTTAAGGGAAAGAATGAATATTAAAACATTAACTTGTTATACTGCTGGGTATACTTCATATGGGTTCTCTTGTACAAATTGCAATGCCTACATATATATATATATATATATATATATAACACCCCCATTCAACCAACTACTTGATAAGTATTTTCCTTTCGGATCATAAAACCCAACAACAGAAGCTAATTTAACAAAACAACAGCAGCTAATGTATCTAAAAAAACCTCCATTTTGATACTGTGTTTTCAAACCCAACAACAGCAGCTACTGTATCTCAACAATAGCAACTTTAACCCAACAATAGCATCTACTGTATCTCAAAAAAGACCTGCATTTTCATACTTGTAGTGTAACCTTTTTTGTGTTGTTTCTTGTAACCTTATGGGCAAATTTCAGATTATTCTGTTGGGCTGGTGGTTGTAGTGCAAAATGCTTCTATTAGGCCCAATATAATTAAAAGCCATAAGGAATTCTAGTTCAAACCTTGACCCATTTAATTTTGATCTATTAATTAATCATACCAATTAGCCTAATGGAGGGTTAATTAACTAATTCATATGTTATTTGATTACTCATTAGTATTTAAATCATAAAACTAAAGGTGAAGTCTTTGATGGAGTAAATGTTGATAATGATGGTATTTTTTAGAAAAACGTCATGGATTGTATAGTTGATAGAATATTATGAGAATATAAGGGATAATGCATTGCTGGTGTATGACAAGCTCTTGAATAGTAAACCTATGAAGCAAGGATTGGTTTTGTCTGTGTCAAAATGGGATGCGGTAAACCTCATTAGTATGTAAATCATAAAAAATTGTTGAAATATTTGTCGATTGTGACATGTTGGGTCCATAATATATCCTTATGTGCATACATGTAATCGATTTTGTCCGGTTTCCACACTTGGGCTTGTGTTTTTATCTAGACTAGTTGCTATTACCTTTTCTTGATTAGTTTCTATTACCTTTTCCTAATTAGTTGCTATTACCACAAGAACCAAACCCTCTACTTAAATCCATTTAAGATTTGAAGCTCACATTTACATGAACCAATCTTTATTAGAGTATGATTATTTTGCAATTTGTGATTTTTTCTTGTATGATAATTAGTGATGGACGAGAATGTGTATGTGAGGTGGACAAATGAACTTACCAATTGCTTTTTAGAGACCTGTATAGAAGAAGTCAATAAGGTGGGTCGAAACGGAGGTAGTCTTCACAAAGAAACTTGGGTGAAGTTGGCAACCAAACTTGAGGAAGTGTGCCATGTAAAACTCACCCAAAAGCTATTGAAAAATCAATATGATTATTTAAAGGGAAAGTATTTGGGATAGGTGTACTTAAGGAATAGAACAGGGAATATTTATGACCCATAAATGAATACGTTCACTTTAACAAATCAAGAATGGGAAGATTTCTTCAAGGTTACTTTTTTTTTCCTTTTTAGATATTAAAGACAAAAGCACGGGTATCATATAAATAATTATACTTAAATTGGATGCAGGGACATCAAAAAGCAAGAATTTTAAAGACATCAATATTGGTATATCATGAGTTACGTATAGCTTTGTTCGAGGGGACTTCTGCTACTGGATCTCGTGCTTATGCCCCTAGTTCAACATATGAGAGGACTATGATTTCATCATCATCATTTACATCTAATATCCACAATACTCAAGATACTGAAAATGAGGTGGATGGTGATGAGGAGGAAGGACCAACTGTTAACAAAGCGAGCACAACTTCGTCTTGACCGAATAAGAAGAGTAAAACCAAGGTCGACATGGATTAATTGACTTTAGAAAAGAGGGGTGCACTTCAGACACTTGTTGCACAACAAACCTCAAATCTAAATGCTTGTATGGAACGATTGAACACTCTTGACCTTGATAAAAGGGATCCTCTTTATAATGCAACCATTGACATTTTTGGGTAGTCAACGTTATTAAGAGAGACATGGTTGACGATCCCTTTAGACATTGATATATTAACATCATGGATTTCAAAGATGACAAGACGAATGAGACTCATGGATTAGTTTTAGAATTTTAACAAGTTACTTGGTTATGCGTTTTATATTTGAACATGTTATTTGCATATGTGTTTGATATTTGACTACTTGGTTACGTGTTTTGGAAGTTGAACAAGTTGTTATTTCGTAATGCGTTTGATATTCAAGTTTCATTCTATTTTAATTTTATTTATGCTTTTAACAGTTTATCATGGATAATAATAACAAAACTATACTTCTCATCGTCGTATTTTTACATATGTTCTACTTGCGACAAATTCGTTTAAAAAGGAAAAGAGATAATATGTCTACAATAACTGGACATCAATTTACAAAAGAATTACTTGAAGGTAGTAATCGGCAATGTATTGACTTGTTGTGAATGTCACGTGAAGCTTTCATTCGATTATGTGATCGCTTTAAAGCAAAAGGTTGGTTAACGGATAGCAAACATATATTGGTCGAAGAAAAGATGACTATCTTTCTAATGATTATAGGTCACAATCAACGTTATAGAGTGTTGAAAAACAGGTTCCAACACTCAACACAAACAATTTATAAATTTTTTCATGAAGTGTTGGATAAAATGATGGAGTTTGCAAAAGAGATCATAGTTCCTACATCATTCAATTCTGATCCAGACATCCCTGGGAATAATAGGAGGTTACGACAAATATATTAGGTAAATAATAATTTGATAATAGTATAACTTTCCTTACTAAATTTATTTTGACTATATAGCTTTAATGTAGGGAGCAATTAGCGCCTTGGAGGGAACTTTAATACATGCTATCGTCCCTATTCAAGAGAAACATTTATACAGATGACGAGAAAAGAATGAATGTTATCAAAATGTTTTTGGAAATTTGTGATTTCAACATGGTTTTTACATTTGTTGTTGCCGGATGGGAAGGAATTGCACATGATTCTAGACTTTTGTCTGAAGATTTAATAGATGGTGCTATTGGATTTCCATTTCCTTCTTCAGGTATACTATTGATTTTACAGGTAATATATTTGCTATATTCATTTAAACAAGCATTTTATTTATTGTTTTTAGATAAATATTACTTATGTGATGCTACGTATACAAATACTCGAGAATATATGGTGTCGTATCGTAATGTTAGATATTGGCTCGGAGATTTTCGTCGTCGACGAGCAATGAAAAGCATGAAAAGTTCAATCATTCTCATGCAAAACTTAGAAATGTTATTGAACGTTCTTATGGCGTCCTGAAAGCACGTTTTTCAATATTGAAAAGAATGGCACCATTTACACTTGAGGTTCAAAGAGACGTTGTTATTGCATGTTTTGCGGTTCACAACTTCATCCGGAAGCAAGGTTTAAGTGATGAGTTATTTTCTGAGTATGATCAAACCAACGAACAAGGAAACGATGATGAGGATAAGGCTGAAGATATTCAATCGCATGGGAGTGCCGCTGACCAAACATATATGGCTAGTTTAAGAGAAGAAATTGCGACATAATTAATGCAAAATGAATATTGATTCTAGTTGTTATGAGACTTTGTTCGTGTTTTCTATTGTATGTTGAATCAATTGACGTATTTCCATTGAATTTTTTTATTGTGTTCAAAATATATGGTAGTTTGCAAATGGTTTAAATGATTGGATATTTTAGTTAAATTTAACTGAAATAAATTGATTCATATTTCAGACTTCCAAAGTTTGTCAGTTTACAAAAAACAAACAGTCTTATTGATTCAGATTTCAGATTTCAAACTTCAGAAGTTTGTCAGTTTACAAAAAGAAACAATCTTATTGATTCAGATTTCAGACTTCATACGTAAAAACAAACAGTCTGACTAATTCAGATTTCAGACGTAAAAACAAACAGTCTGACTGATTCAGATTTCAGATTTCAGATTTCAGACGTAAAAACAAACAGTCTGACTGATTCAGATTTCAGACTTCAACACCACCTCTTAAAAATCAAATTGAATTCAGACTTCGAACTTTAGCACCTCTTAAAAAACAAACGCCACCTAACATTCTTGTTCAGATCAAGAAGTTTCTCTTCTTCTGATTTTTTTAAGAGACTCTAATTTTTCTATTTTCTTTTTCAATCACCTCTTTTTCCTCTGTAAGAAGGTTCGTTTCTCTTTTAAAGAAACTAGCTTCTTTCTCAGCTTTGATTCTTTCTGATTTTCAAAATTTTGATTTTTTCTTTTGTTGATCCTTTCTCTCAGTGACTTGATGATATTTTATTTTACCTTATACGAAGTATTTATGCTTCTATCTTTTAGTTCCAGCGATTATCACTAAGTCTGTTCAGTGATCGCTGAAAACATGTAATGTAAATCCATCTGTGACAACGATACTTGAAGAAGACAAAACTCACACCAAAGAACCTTCAACAAAAGTCGAAGACTGAAGCTGAAGATTAGAGACTAGCGAGTTCGTCATCTGAAGCGGTATTCAGTGATTACAACCTAGTCTACATATGTGTGAAGACTGCCCAAACCTCAGCGAATACTGAAGTGACCTTTAGGTTATTCTAGCATTCAACGATGAAAAGAAGCTTGTAGAGCATGATTGTTTTTGTCTTGTCCTTCCACACACATAGGACAAACCCATACCCTTTCTAGAGTGTAATACGGTACGGAGCCGATTAGTTGATTCTACTACCCACCAACTCCATGAAAGGTTGTCTGCTCATGAGTAGGCTTTTTTACTATTCACTGTAGCAAAGGACAAGTCTTTCTCTAAAGGCTTGACACTTGTTCAAACCCTACTGCATTGCATTAAATGTGCATTTAATGCAATGAGTATAAATAGATGTGTTCTATCTCCATGCAGATATATCTCTTACTCTTGAACCCTAACTCATACGTTCATATGTGAAAGAGCACACATCTAAAGAACACAATTTGCTTATCTTCAAAAGCAAGTTAGAATCCCTTTTAAGTATTCTAAATAGTTCTTACCTAGAAAGAATTTACTTTCTTCCAAGTCTTAAACAACAAATCATTTCTCTTTGCTAAGAACTTGTGTGTAACTTAGATTGTTTAGATAGGTTATCTTTACATTATTTTTCCGCAAACAATGTTGTAAAATCTGTATTGATCCTTCTTTATTAATAACATTTTAAATTTAAAAATTTAACTATTTTTGTATTCATACCCCCTTCTACAAACTGTTATACACATTATGTAGACCCAAACGGGACCAACAAGTGGTATCAGAGCAATGTATAGCCGGACTTCATATTCATCTTACAATCTATTGACTGGTTTAGGTTTTACATTTATAGAAGGTTTATCCGGATTTTGGGTTTCATCGCACATAGCCTTTACCGTATTCTGGGTTTCATCGTCTAAGGCATTGTATAAATCACTTGCTGTTTCATTCGAGTTTGAGTTTCATCAGCTGACAAATTCTTCCTCCTCAACACAGAATCATCGTCATCTAAATCGTACACTATTTTGAGAGAGCTTCATCAATATCGGACATCACCTCGTCCGGATTCCAATTAAATCGGACACCCTTACAGCGGGTTTAGACTTAGAATTTTTGTGTGATTGTAATCCTGACAAGAGCTTATACAGATTACTTGTTCATCGCCAACATTTCAACAGGATTGGGTCTAAATCGCTTCCTAGTGTGTCTGGATTTGAGCTTCAATCATCTTTCCTTGGCTAGTGTTTTGTTCAGATTTATTCCTCGGTCATTTTCTTAGTCGCGATCTTCAATTCCCGGACAACCTTCTTCATCGCACACCCACCTGTTTTGATCCAGACATAGGTTTTAACTTGGTTTAGGTTTGTTTTTTCGTGGGCCTTCTTAATTTCTAGCCCATCTTGTTTTAATTTTTTTTGGCCCAACAATCTTCCATTCTTGAGTTTTTTATTTTTTATCTAGATTTTATTTTTGTATCACATTTTAATTAAGATGTAACTGATTTTGATCTATATTGGATTTTGCTTAACTGTTTTTGGGAATTTCACTGATTTTGAACTGATTTGAACTTTTTTTTTAATTTTTGAACTAATTTGCATCACATAAACTGTATTTAATCAATTTTAACCGTTTTTAAATGTTTTCAATGGTTTTTGACTGTTTTTACTGATTATTTTATGGTTCTCGCTGATTTTCTGAACAGTTTTGGATCGTTTCTGATTTTTTATCTTATTGATTTTTTTATTTCTTTTACTGATTTCAACGCATTAGATTTTTTTTGTAATATCCAATTTCTAATATGCCAAATTATTTGCTAAGTATATTTAAATTTGGGTTAAAGAGAATATAGGATTTAGTGGGAGTTGGATTTGAAATTTTAGAATTATATTTCTTAAGAATATATTAGAGGATTTGGAAAATATCACGTCAAATAGATACGTAAAACGGATTTTTTGGAAGATATTTTCTGGAATATTTTTATTGGATGTTATAGATTATCTCTTTATGAATATGTAGGCGAAAACCTCACAGAAAACGAAGGTCCGAGCGAAAAGTTATGAATAATTTAAGTGTTGATGGTCAAAATGGGTACCTAGTCGGGCCAACCCGGCCCAACTCGAGTTTTAGCATTATAATTTGTAGTTTTGGCCCATTTTTCTTGTCATTTAAGTCCAGAACTCACACACACACTAGAGGTGCGATTTTCACACACATAGACTTGATTCAACTCAAATCAAAGAGGAACTACAAGATCTTTGAATGATTTGATCATCAAGTAAGGTATAATCTATTTTTGCACTTGTTTTTTGTTGACATTCTTGTTATATGGATTGCATGTTGAGTTAGAGTTAGCGTTTCATATGGGTTTGATCTTAAGTGTATAAAATGAGTGCATTTTAGTGTTTATGGCATGAAATGGTCATTAGATTCAAAAGATTATCAAGATTTATGCAAGTTCATCATATGAATTTTGACTTGATTAAGTCAATGATTTGGGAGATAATATAAATGATAAAATAAAGGTTGGATTTTGGTTGTTTATGTCAAATATGTTATATTAAGTTAAGATTCAAAAGTTATAATAGTTTGGAATCGAAATGGTTTGAGAAAAATGTATGAAAATGAGAATTTCAACTTAAGAATGCATTGAAAGTGTGCAGACTTTGAAACTCTGTATAAAATCGTAGAAAAATCCAAATGAGGTGAGGCTAATTTCCTTAGTTAGATAATTGAATCTAGTTTATTTCTTATTTTATGATCAAGGCATGAATTCAAGTTTAAAATGGGCAAAATAGTTCTGCATGCAGCAGTTGTACATAGAAATTTTGGTAAATGGTTCAAATAGGATATGTGTATATCATGAGTTTCTTATTTTGGTTTCTTATGACATTTTGTACATTCACTCCAGGGGGTAATTATGAAATATTTTGATACTTTGGAAGCAATCTAAGTATGGTAGATTGGACTCGCTTTGTGAGCTCATTTTGGAGCTTTTCGGTATTATACGGTTGCCCGGTGAGTTATATAGTTAATTGTTACATATTGATTTGAACATATATACTATCATATGAATGTTTTTGGTCTTGAATTGAATCATACTATCTTGATTCGTCTTTGATTCTGTCTTTTGAGTCTATTCTATATTACTATTTTGTTACATCGGTTTGCTTTCCGGATTCGGACTCGTTGTTTTGTTCCTTGATTTATACGCCATAGTACGGGTACTACTTCATGTGGCACGGCGGAAGTTTATGGTGAAGTCAAGATCTCGGGTTGGACGGGTGAGACTTTCTGCGATTGTGAATACTCATTGCTCAGAAAGGAGGAAGAGCAATGAGTAGGGAACCTTGGCACATACTCGGTAGAGGAAGGCGGGTTGTGCGACGTTTCCCGTAATGTATGATTCTGACTCGGACTTTGGCATGAGCCCGGGAGGTGAAGGACGGGGTGATGCACTGTTCTCGTTATGTTTACCGATTCGATCTCTTGGTTCTTGATATTTATTGGTATTCTAACGTTGCTGAATATATTTGGTCGTTGATCCTCTCTCCTTTTTGTATTGAGCATCAATGGTATGGTATATTATGGTGATTTGAATATGGAATCCTATGATCTTAGCATCTGGTACATAATTGTTCATTCGGTTTCTTGTAAGTCTCGGTTTACATCTGGATGATGTCTTGAACTCTTTTATTGATAAGAGTTTATTATGTATGTTTATAAACATGTGCGATATTGATATGTAATACTTAACTATTTAACTCACTAAGCGTTGGCTTACCATTTAAGTGGCAACATCTCTCAGGAAAGAAGATGGATAAAAAGAAAGAACCCATTGTCTAACTCGAAGATTTATCGAGGAACTTGAAGATTTCGATCTTGCTTTTGGTAAATAGTAGCTTATTATCATATCTCATAGTTGTAGTAGGTGTAGCTTATATATAGTCTTGTTTCGGTTATAAATATGTCCCGTATTCTTTTGCTACTAAATTTGGGTTGTAAGTAAAAATCCGTTATATCCGGTTTGGAATTGTGTTTTGGGTGGTTTTATCATTAAAATAGAACGG